CCCCCTGGGATGGCCGTAATCAAAAAGACACATAACAACAGTGAGGGCACAGAGCAATCAGACCCTCATACATATCTGGTGGGAAGGTACAATGGTGTAGTCACTTTGTACAACTGTCTGACACTTCCTTGAAATGTTAAACATAGACTTACGACGAGACCCAGCAATTCTATTTCTAGGTTTGTACCTAAGAGAATTTAAAATACCCACACAAAACCACAAAAATTTGTGTATGAATGTTATAGCAGCATTATTCATAGTAGCTGAACAGTGGAAACTAAATCATGAATACATCACCAAAAAGCATACTTTTTAATAAATTATTGGCCTACAAGAAAATAAAGAATTGTCCTCAAAGACTCAGTGGCTTATAAACAACAAATATTTCTTACTTAGCTGGAATTTGACAGCTGGAGGGAGGGGCAGTCAGCTGCTGTGCTGTGCGCTAAGTGCAGATCAGCTCCACGTGTCTCCATTTAAGGACCGAGACTGAAGGCTCCGCGGTCACCGGGTTGTCTTTTCCTCGCGGTGGAAGATGAGCGTACAGGAGGCCAAGCTGCAGAGATGCACGTGGAGCCCCTGCTCAGATGTGGCCTGTGTGTTCACACTTCATTAGCCAAAGCAAGTCACCTGGCCAGGTCCCACAAAATGGTGTGGGAAGTGCGCTGCTTTCAAGGAGTAGAGGGAGGGAAGAAAAAGGGAAGGAAAAGGCATGACTTCCCTCTTAAGAACACTGTCTGAAAAACCGCGCACACCACTTCTGTTTATCTCCCTCGGTAAAAGCTTAGTGCGTGGTCATTCCTTGCTGAAGGGCAAACTGGATATAATAGACGTTATTGTGGATGGTCATATACCCAGTTAAAATTAAGAAGTTCTATTACTAACGTAAGGAGAAAATGGCTAATGAGAGACAACTATCAACCTGCCACAAACTTCTACAACAGTTACTGAAATTTAAAAACTTCGTAGACACATTAGATGCATCTGAAGAACAGATGAAGTAGAGGATACAATGGAAGAAGCTGCTTAGAATGTGGCAGAAGAGACAAGGAGGCAAAAACATGACAAGTTAAAAGGGGAGGACAGGAAAGGCAGCCTCTTGCTTTAAGTCTACGTAGTCCCAGAAGGAGAACCTGGAGAATGGAGGTGAGCTCCTGCTCCTCTAACGGGCAGAGGACTTTCCAAACCAGCAAGGTCAGGAGTCACTGAGGATGCTGCGCAGGATAAGTACGAAGAAATCCAATCCAGATACACTGTAAGTGAAGCTGAGAACGTAGAGGACAACACATCTTAAATTCAGCTGTGTTCGTGTTCCGGGACTGCAGTAACCGAGTGCCACCAACTGAGTGCTTTCACACCACGGTTCTGGAGGCTGGAAATCCAAAATGCCCTCTCTGAACTGGAGGGGAGAATCCTTCCTGCCCCGTCCTAGTTTCTGTGATTTGCCGGCAGTCCTTGGCATTCCTTGGCTTGCGTCTGCAGCTCTTCAATCTTTGCCTCCACTGTCGCGTGGCATTCCTTTTTCGAGTCTGTGCCTCTGTGTCTCTTTCCCTTTTCTTGTAAGGAACCCAGTCATACTGAATAAAAGACCTCCTTTTCCAATATGACCTTATCTTAACTAACTGTGTCTGCAATGATCCTATTTCAGAATAAGGTCACATTCTTAGGCACTGGGAGTTAGGGCTTTAATCGATCATTTTGAGGAATACAGTTCACCCTGTATCATTAAGGCAAAAGATCAGCTTACTTACAAAGGAACAGTAATTAGACTGACAGAAGACTTATGAACACACAGAGGAAGCCGGAAGACAGTAGAGTATTATCTTCAAGTGCTGAGACGAAGTAACTGTCATCCCAATTAACTGTGTGATTAACAGTAATTTATAAGATCAAGGACAAAATAAAGACATTTTCAACTAAAAGCACATGCTTTATTACCAATTGATCTTCATTAAAGGAAAATCTAAATGATACTTCAAAGAAAAATAATCCTAGAAAAGGATTTGAAAGACAGGAAGACGGTGATCAGAGAAGTCAGTGAACATGTGGAAGAGGGGGTTATCTAAATTAACTGTTCGCAACTTCTCAAAACCAGCTGAAGAAGTAGTAAACCTGAAAGTTCTATAACAAAGAAATTTGATTGGTAGTAAAACTCATCCATTTGAAAAAAAAAAAGTCCAGAGGTTTTACAGATCAGGTCTACAAAATACTCCAAGAACAACTCATTTTAAACTTATTCCAAGTCTTCTAGAGAATTTACCAAAAAATAGAAAATTCTGCCACCCCAGCTCACTTGGTGAGATCCAACTTTGCTTAGTGAACTTGTTAAATATTGATACAAAAGCCAGACACGGATAGTAATGAGAGCCTTAACCCAGTGATTAAACTTCACATCACCCATAACAAGTGCCTTCCCAGGAGATGCAATGGGAGGTACGTGACATCTGCTTAGAGCTGTTGACTAAAAAATTGTTTAATCTGAATTTAATCATGAGGAAACAACCAAAGGCATTGTCAAGAACTATGAAAGATCTGAGGTTTTACCCTACTCAGAAGGTAACAAATTAGTCTGGCAGTTCCATGATGCTGGCTGGAGAAACACAAATCTTGTGCAAAACACAATTTCTTGTGCATCAGAGACAAGGGACGGTTTATCGCTCACAGCAGCAGCGTTAGTCAAACTATGATTATCTCCTCGTGCCAGTTTCCCAAGCCCCAGTTCCCACGGGTGATACAGCAAAGCCAGGCGATGCCTGCACTTACTGCAGACTGAGTTACAGAAGAGGAATCCCAAGCTTCGGGAACCCGCAGTTTTAATAACAGGCTGCAAGCAGACATGCCTGACTTTTGCCTTAAAGACGTTACCTTTGTAACATCAGATAATAATAAACCTGTCCTGATGGGCTATGTCACCTCCAGCCTCCAAGAGTACTCTGTCCACTTCAAAAATAAGACAGCCAGTTATCTCACCAGCCAGGTGAGTTTATTTGGGAAGAGCCAGGGGAATTGCAATTCAGGAGTGCAGAACTGGGGGAGCTTGCTGTTCTAGAGAAACTGGGAGTCGGGGGCTGTTCTCAGTGGAAGTTCGCTGGAGGAAAGTAAGAGTTCAGGGTGGCGATGGCTCCTCGTGGGCTGAGCTGCGGCGTCCTCCATGGCAGGGCTGGCTGCTGGACGAGAAGAACCTGCTCTCCCTCCTGCTGGGGTGGTGGAGGCCCTTCCTGTCTGGGGTCTTGGACGAGGAGTCGTAGGGATGAGGGTTCCCTCTACAGGCCTTCCCGACTCAAATTTTAGTTGAGGTTTCCTTTATTAATTTTGACATCACTATTCAAGTATCTTTGAAAAGACAGTCCAGGGCAAAAGGACAGCGCGTGCACAATCATGAAGAAACACGAGACCTGTCTCCCAGGAACCAGTCAGTCTGTGGGTCATTCTGCGAAGCAAGTCTGGATTCACTGAAAACGTTGACGTCCTAGCAGGTGCTGCGGGTGTCCTGCCCGCGCGCCCTCGCCTCGCCCACGCCGTCCGCGTGCTCCCTTGGTGTCTCTCTCCCAGGTTTCGCATTTCTTTGCCTACGGCTTCTTCCCTGAGCTTCTGCCGCAGGCTGGTGGGGAATCGGCCCCTGCAGGAGCAGCCCTCGACCAATGACTGATCAGAGCAGCTCGTAACTACCCTGCGTTCCTCGCCTCCGGGCTCTGAGGCTCCCGTTCTAACAATTCCCTGAGTTCCCCCGCAGTAGAAAGAAGTTTCCCTCAGCGTGAGGACACATCCTCACTACCCGCCTCTTTCCCTGCCTCACTTCCCTGTGGCGCCCCTGGTGTCTCCCGAGATTACCTCCCAAGCAGGCTGCTTGTACCTGAATCCTCGTCCCAGAATCTGTTCTGGTGGAACCCAAAGTAAGACATGTCCACGTGGAAATGTCAAATACACAGTCAGACGTGAATCTGGAACTCAGAGGGGAGGTTCGTGCGGCTTGTGAGTCATCAGCAAAAAGATGTTCTTTCTCCTAGTTCTCTGTTGCAGCAAGAGAGATTACCCTAAAATTCAGAGGCTGGAAACCTCTTTTTTTTTTTTGGTAGCTCACAGTTTTGTCTCTGCTGGGCAATTCCTCTGTTCCACGTAGCATCACCTGAGGTCAGTCATTCCAGGTATTCACCATTTAAAGCTGTGAGCCAAGATAAGACACCACAGGAGTTAATGGGGAAGCCCAAGCCTTGGAACTCCCCGTGTTAGGAGACCAGCGCACAGAGACTGGGCACTGGGTCACATGCTGCCAGTAAATAAATCAGTACGACGCAGATTAAAAACTGACATTGGATTTAGTGATGTAAACATCTGTTGGGAGGCAGAGATACTAAATAATATCCTCCAAACTGAGAAGGAACTTGGAGACCAAAAAACAAAGCTGGCGATTCCAAAAAGTGCCATTAGGCAGTCTACTGTGGTAACACACAGAGGGTCCTGTGAGGACCGCCCAGAGGCATTCCCAGCTGCTCTGCGCCACCAGGGGTACAGGGGGCCTACAGAGGCCAAAGCTAAAGGTGGAGTCTGGCTAGGAAGCGGGAGGCACGTGGGCACTGATGGGGACCCAGGGTTTTCCTCCCCCGGGGGGCTTATGACCGTTAACCAACTGCATCAGCAGAAGGCATCCTTCCAGCTTCCATATCAGATGAAGGCAAGGGTCAAAGTTGACAGGGGCCATGTCTGACTTGGGCACATTCCCTGCAAGTAGCTAAAGCTCAGTCGTGCAGAGAGGGGAGGGGTGGCACTGTGGGCCGAAGACGGAGCCACAGAATGGAGTCAGTGTGTTTCAGACACTCGTCACTGGGGCCGAGTGTGCCACATGTCAGGTGGCTGCGTCAGAAGTTTGGTTAGTTGGCTCAGGGAGAACAGGATGGGTGGAAACGTAAGTTGTGAGTATTAGCCCTTCTTTAGAGAGTTTCTGTTATAAACACAAGTGGGGAAACACGAGGCGAACATTACTTTCCCCTGCACCTTCCTCCTGTTCCCCAGTCCCACCTGATGGCGCCCACTTCTGGTCACTTCTGCTTTGGGGCTTGTGAGTGGGGGGCATCCTGGCCGGGACGGGAGTTTGGGGTCCCCTTTATTACCTATTTTATCTGCATAATGAGGAGATAACGAAACTTGCTTTAAGTGTCTCCTGCAGCATTTTAACTCCAGAACTGCAGGGAACGGTTTTTAGTCACTGTTCCACCATACACAGTATTATCTAACGTTACCCACTGTTTGTGAAGGTTTTTCATACCTGATAAATGTCCATATTTATCTGTAGGTGAAAAGGAATTTGCCTAGCAAGGTTTACAGTTGCAGCGTATGTCAGGTCACACCTGCACGTACTAGGAGTACGGCAGAGTCGCGGGGAAGGGCTCGGGTTTGTGCTGTGGCTTAGCGTCTCGCTGCCCGCTTTCCTTGTCTGAAGCAGAGGCAGTAACAGGAACGGCCCCCTCACGATATTGCAAGGGTTAAATGAGAAAATTTAAACTTCCTAGCTTAGGTTAGTAAGCACTTAGCGTGTGCAAGTCCTTGATAAAGCCAGCCAGCGTCACTACCGAGCAGGGAGTCAGCTAGGAATGCTCCCAACTGTCCGTGAGGGGAGGCTGGCTTCACAGTAGTGAGGGTCTGTTTCTCTCACAGACCAACGCTCTCATGTGTTGTGAACCAGGGGGTGTATATGAGTAACATATACTGTGGGATTAACTCGATCATCTACATCTGAGTTAAGAGAAAGAAACAGAAAAAAAGGTAATTCCTACCGAGACAGCCTAAGTAACTTGGGAGGCAGCTATAGACGCATAACCAAAATCTCTTCTGCCCTTCTTCCTTCCTGCCAGCACCCGACTCGGTGCAGGGGGTAACACGCTTGGGTGAGAACACTCGCCTTCCCAGGTAGGGGCGTCCACGTGACGTTGTTTGGGCCACTGTGACCTAAGCGTAACACCTGATGAGGTTTCTACAAAAGCTTCTAAAAATTGTCAGACTCAGCTAACATGTCCTTTGTCTTTCTAGTGTCTAGGACGTGGGCGTGAGGCTGAGGTGGGACAGTCACACCACGGTCAGGAGGCACACGTGCAGGTGAGAGCCGCATGTCCGGATGGTGAGTGCAAAAGAGGGAAGGAGCCTGAAGCACGAGCGGCTCCTGGGGCCGCTGCACCCGCGTTAGGCTGGGCCTCGCGACTCCTAACTGTGCAAGAAAAATCCACTTCAATTGAGTTAAACCCCTTAATGAGGTTTCTGTGTACAAAAACAGTGCAATTCTAATTGCCATAAGAGCTCTAACATTCCAGTGACATAAATCAAGTCTGAAACCCTTACTTATGGCAGTATGATTAGCTAACACTGCCATCACATAATTATCTTTCTTTTTTGCGAAGTATCTTTTCATTGAACTATAGTTGATCATTTCTTTTTTATGATGAAAACATTGAAGATTGAGTCTTTGAGCAACTTTTAGGTACATGAGCGGTATTGTTAGCTCTCACACACTGCTGTGCATGAAGCCCCAGAACTCACTCGTCTTGTGGTTTCAGGTTTTACCCTTTGATCACATCTCCGAGGTTCCTCCAACCCCCCAGCCCTTGGGAACCAACATTCTACTCTGTTTCTACGAATTCTGGCTTTTTAGATTCCACGTGTAAGTGACATCATACAGTATTTGTCCTTGTCCCTCACTTAGCATAATGTCCTCGAGGTCCATCCTTGTTGTCCCAAATGGCAAGATTGCATTCTTTTTTTATGGCTGAATAATATGCAGTTGTGTATACACACCACATCTTCTTTATCCATTCATCCCTCCATGGACAGTTAGGTTGTTTCCGTATCTTGGCCACTGCAGTAAACATGGGATTGAAGGCATCTTGTTGATACCCTGTTTCCATTTCCTTTGGATATACATCTAGAAATGGAATTGCTGGATTGTGTGGTGGTTCTGTTTTTAATGTTTTGAGAAACCTTCATACTGTTTTCCACAGTGGCTGCACCAATTTGCATTCCCACCAGCAGTGCACAAGGGTTCCCTTTGCTCCACATCCTCGCCAACACTTTTTCTTTTTTCTCATTTTCTGGATAATAGCCAGTCTAACAGGTGTGACGAGACATCTCATTGTGGCTTTGATTTGCATTTCCCTGACAATTAGTGACATTGGTCATCTCTTCACATACCTGTTGGCTATTTGTATGTCTTTAGAAAAATTACTATTCAGTTCCTCTGCCCATTTTTTAATTATTGTTTTTTTTTCTTCTTCTATTGCGTTGTCTGACTTCTGTGTAAGTTTGACCACTAAGCCCTTATCAGATACATGGTGTGCAATATTTCCCTCCATTCTGTAGGTTGCCTTTCCTTTGCTGTTCAGAAGCTTTTAAGTTTGATGTAGTTCAGGAAAGGCTGGAGGAAAGAATTTGTGCATCAGCGGCAGATGGAAAAACGTAGGCAGCCCTGTTTAAGTTCTGAGGACTCTGGGCTTGGGGTCTGTATCACTGCAGTCTTTCTTGTTGACAGGTCCCCTTTCAGTGTAAGGCTTTCCCGGTGCTGTACTGTAATCTATCTGCTTCCTAAGACTGAATTCCTAGTGGGAATCTTGTGTGGTGCTAGGCCCTCAGTGCAGAGTCTGACAGAGAGCCCTCATAAATTGTCCTTTTAACGTCTTAGTCTTGGTTTCATTAGAAAACAATCAACTTCCAAAAGCACAAGCAATAAAAACGAAAATAAACAGGTGTTGGGCATCATGATTTTAATTTCAAAGAGTTTTCTTCAGCTAATACATTTTTATTTTTTCTTAGAGGCTACTACTTCATGGACAGAACACGTGTATCTTCTTACCTGAGAATATCATTTATGCTTGCTTTCTTTGCATCTTTTCTTTTTCTATCTGCAGTTTCTCTTGGCTCCCTTTTTCACTTGTTTTAATAATAGCTCTTATCACAAAGATATTCCTTGTGATCCTTTATGTCTTCATATTTAAGAACAAGATATTAATCAGTTCATTGGAAGCTTTCTGAAGAGTATGGAAGCTCTCTGATTTGCTTTGTTGTAGGCAAGCTTTTAAAAATTATTTAATTTTAATTTAAAAATTGGAAATTATGGTAAAATACACATAATAAAAGTTACCATCTTAACCATTTTCAAGGGTACATTTAAGTGCACAGATCAGCCATGTTAAGTACATTCACCTTGCACAGCCAGTCTCCAAACTCTTTTCCTTTTGCAAAACTGAAACTCAGTGTTCATGAAACAACAGCTCCTCACTTTCCTCCCCAGCCCTCGGCTCCTTCTGTCTTTGGGAGCTTGACGACTTTAGGTTCTCCTGTCAGTGGAAGTGTACGTGCTCATGTTTTCTGACAGGCTTCATTACTTAGCATGATGTCCTCAAGGCTCATGCATTTTGTCACGGTTCAGAATTTACTTGGGTTTTAAGGCTGGATTCTAGTCCACTGTATGCATCGCGTTTTGTTCATGCTTCATCTGTCAGTGGACACTGGGGTTGCTTCCACCTCTCGGCTGTTGTGAATAATGCAGCTATGGACATCCATGTGCGAGTATCTCTTGAAGATTCTGCCTTCAGTTCTTTGGGGTGCACACCTGGAAGTGGAGTTGCTGGGTCATATGGTAACTTGACTTTTAATTTGTTGAAGGACCACCATACTGTTTTCCATTGCATTTGTACCATCTTACCTTCCCATCAGGAGTGCACAGTGTTCCAATTTTTATATATCCTTGCCAACATTTGGCATTTTCTGTTTTTTTAAATAGTAGCTATTCTATTGAGTGTGGGCAAGCTGTCTTATGTATATAGTTTTGGACCCTGATTATTCCACAGAAAATGATCTTGAACATTTTTTCCATATCAACAGATATTTTTTAAAACATGATTTTTAATGGCTGTACTATTTAACAGATTCCATAAGGTGGCATTTTATTTGTTTCCACTAATTTTTCAGGGTATCAATAATGTTTGCAGAATATTCTTATAAAGAAACCTTAGTGTACATTCCTGACATTATCCTTGGTTGTTAAGGTCTTGGAGGTTGAATTCGTGGACCAGAGGGTATTTTTTTAAATATATACTGCCAGGTTGCGGTCCTGAAAGGTTGCATCAGTTTTCATTCCTACTAGCTGTGTGGAGGTGTCATCGGCACTGGATATTATCAGACAGTTATTTCAATGTATGACCATAAATACAAGGTCAGCAATAAGAGACATCGACGGATAACAGTGGTCAACTCTGAGAACAGTTCTGGCTTTGACGTATGCAAGGTCACGTAAAATGCTGGATTTATTTGTATTTGTATTTTTTGGTACTAATGTACTCATGTAACATTTATATAAATATTTTAACTTCCTAATTTAAAATAGAAATGGTTGAAGTTATATACTTACTTTAATATGTATGCTTTTTAGTTTCATTAAAGTTAAAACTTTTTCATGTTTATCTTTCTCCTTTTGTGAAATATCGACTCATTTGTCTATATTTCTTGATTTGTTAGTACTTACATGTGAACTTTACCAAATGTGTTAATAATAGTCCCCCTTTTTGTTTACTTCCTACCTGTAGTCTCCACCTGCCGTTTTCTTCTCATTTGTTTTTCTGTGATTGACTTCTAGTCTCACGGCACTGTGGTCAGCAAAGATGCTTAAAATAATCTATATCCTCAGACTTTTGTGGCTTCTTTTCTTTTCCCTTTTCTCTCGGTCTCTCTCGTTGTTGTTGTTGTCGTCAGGAGCTGGGGGGGGGGTACTGCTGATAGGATGGCGTTTCCTCCTGGGGTGACGGCATGTTCTAATACCGGCAGCCGTGATGACTGCGTTCAGTAAACATACTACCGGCCAGTGAATCGCACACTTTAAGGGGACGTGTGCAGTATGGCAACTACACCTCAAGAAAGCTGTTAACGACAACATCTACAACAGAATCTACGGGCGTGAACCCCCCGTCATTAAAGGCAACCCCACCCCGGGAGGCGCACACTGAGAGTATGAGACACGCACAAGCCAGCAACGCGCAGCCAGTCCAGATACACAGGCTGGGGAGGGTCCGCCCGGCTCCCGCACCCACCCGCCCGGCAGAAGCCGGGAGGACGCCGTGCTGTGTTGCAACGTCTACTGGAGACAAACTCCCACAGCAAAATAGAGGCCACGCGACCAAACAAATACAGAGCGAAAACACAAGCAGAAGACGCCTGGGGCAGGA